AGGGAGGGCCAGGGGGACCGGCCGCAAAGGGGGTAACATCAACCTCTTCCCTTCCTGGTTCATTTTAACCTCCGTGAGCCTCGCAGCCCAGCTCCGTAACCGCGCCGGGCACGAGCACCTCCAGCAACACGGCCAGTGCTGAGCTTGGAGAAAACAGGACCGCGGCTCTGACGCTACCTAACCTAGGACAGGGAGCAGGCCAAAACACTGAGTTCCAGGGGGAAATCTCCGAGAGCAGGGAGGCATATTACCTAGTGCAACGCCAGCCGAGGTGCAGCTGAAGAGGCTAGCAGACAAACCTCATCTTTAGACATTCTGACTATAGAGGAGTTACTTGCACTGTACACCAAGGGGGAGTTTCATGAGGGATGCTGTAAACCAGGAACAGCAGTCAAAATGAAGCTGACCAGTTGGCCTTTTCTTTAAAGGTGCTCATACACCCACTGGAACATAACTTATACAACGGCCATAAATACAAATTAGTTTCTAGAATTTGAAAAAAAACATGAGTAGTCCCTTTTGTAAACTCCCTCTTTTCCATGATCAAAATGATCCCAATTTTATTATGCACACCTCTGTTCAGCTAGAAGGGCTGGTTCCCTTTTCCCATTTATGGTCAGAGTAAGCAAATACCAGATTTTAAATATTTCCTTATGTGGAAGGGTAGTGGTTTTTAGTGGATGTCTCCCCTTTATCATATAGTAACTTGCACAATTTTACTCAGGCCGATTACACTGAAAAACACTGAAAAACACTTTAATTTCTTGTGAATGATCAGTTTGCAGTTTCCTTACTAAAAGCGATGTCATCTCAACAGTTTTTAACCAGTTTGACAAGCAGATCCTAATAGGATTCTTTGGTATAATGACAAATTCAGTAGTAAACAGTTATTTCCAACTTTTATGCAACAATGGAAATAAAGCAGAACTATCACAGCTGTTGACTTAAAATGTAGATGAACTGAAGTCTTTGGTTGCATAAACACAAGTTCTACACCGTAACATTTTTAAAATTTAAAGTTATCCATGTAGTCTCTTTTCATTCAGATATGCTATGTCATGATACATTTAGTTCCTGAAGTTGTTTGCTTATAAAAAACAGTACGCTTATAGAAGTCAAATGCAATTATCCTATAAATGCAGCGAAAAGAGATGCTAATTTAATTTGCTTCTAATTCCCTTTCATTTTTGATTTTTGGACTTGAATTTGTTCCCTTTTCAAAGGAGTATTTTTGTTGTAGGCCCGAATGAAGCAGCTTAGCAGAACAGTAATACTGACAAACAGCATCTTACACCATTAGCTAAACATTACAATGAAGGCAGTGAACATTTACAGTATGAAACACTGAGATGTCATCAACTGACGAGAAGATCTATGTCAATCCAATCTCTTCAAGAACACTACGTGGGGTCTCTGCTTCCTGTGGAGGGAAAATGCGAGACAGCGGTAAATGGATCCTGTGCTCCCACCGAACAGCATCGCGCATGAGAGTTAGTATGGAAGATGCTTAATTAAAAATGAGAAGTCAAAATATGAAAATATAAAAGCACTGCAGTTTGCAAACATGGTATTAGCTGCGCTTTTCAAAGAGCTGTTAATTAGATTGTCACGGTTCACAGGAATAGCTGGTAGATTTTATTGCCTTTAAGCATAATAAAAAGAAAGCAATTCAGAGGTATCAGCAGGGAACAAATCACAACCTAGTAACAGCAGCCTGAATTGGGGAGGGAAAGGGAGGCATCTAGCAAGGGAGACAGTTAATGCTTTTTGTGATTATTTGTTTCATTGGTCGCAAAAATCTTCTAGCAAGGAGTTAAGTGGAATAATGGCATGACTGATGCAACTTAGATACAGTATCCCTTAAACTCTTTATAAACCCCAGACTTTGTACAGGGGTTTAATTCATAAAACCTGATGAAGGCACCTTTCCATACCTGGTGTCAACAAACTGATGTTTACACAAGTGGAAGAACTGTGAGAATCAGGAACGCACTATTCAGTGCCAGCATAAAGCCTGAGGTTAATTCTAACCTTAAAATTCTCTCCCCCCCCCCCTTTTTTTTTTTTTTTTTTTTTTAACATTCAGAACAAGCAGTTTTATACAAAACTCCCCCTAAAGGGTTACTATCAGTCTTGCATTTATTATTCCTAGACCGTCTGAAAAAAATAGTCTGATAGGAAAGATTAAGCTGCCCATTTCCATTAATTAGCAGCAATCTCATAACAAATAAAAGGGATACTGTGTCCTTATGGAAACATAAGCCAGCTTAGCATCCAGAATATGAATAAACTTACTTTAGCATCCTAAGACAAGACATGTCATGAAGCAGGAAAAAGCCAGAAAACAATTAAAGCGGCATTTTTTTTCAACTAAGTATCTCTCTCTCTCTCAAAAAAAAAAAAAAAAAAAAGAAGCTACCTTGTCAGTAAACCACATATTTAAAAACCTTAAATCTTGTAACTAAGATCAGAACATTGGACTGTTTCTAATAACCTTCACTTACGTAGCATGATTGAGCTTACAATCTTCATTCAATTCATGTATTGATGTTTCAGTGTTAAAAATGTACATATTTTAAAGGTAACTTCATTTTAAAGTATGTGTTTGGAAAAGGCCAGTGCTGAGCATCTTGAGATTAACATTTGGCTTCCAAAATCCATCAGCAAGTAAGAAATTCCAAGAAATGGCAACTGACAACTGGAACCAAGAAACCAGATGTATTCAGAATGTGGCTTCTTCTCACTGATGCAGTATTTAAATATCCTTAGAACTGCAGTGACCTTAATACCATAAAACAGCACGACAGGCATTAACGTATATTTCAACATACCATCCAGCAGGTAGCACTGCTTGGAGAGGGACTAGAGTTTTTAATATAATCTGTAATATTCTCGGATGTTCTTCTGTATCCAACTGTAAGCATGAACTGTAGCAAATCCTACGCTCCTTAGCCCACTATCATAACAGAACTCAGTTTTAAGACAAATGGAATGACTTCTGTAAAATGTTTAGGGTCTTGAAAATATTTGCAATAAATAGAACTTAAGTTTTAAATTGATTAGATAGTAATAGACATTTACAGTTACTCAGTGAAATCAGATATTTGCTAATTTATCTGAAAAAAAGCTATTCAGTGAATATAATATTCATATGAATATATAAAGAAATACTACTACTGTCTTCAGAGCAGCTTAGTATTATTACTATCTCCACAGCTTATTCAAAGTTGCAACCAGAATAAACAATTCAAATCAAGCTCATGATTCATCAAATAAATCAAGGACATTGCTTTAAATTCATTGTCAACCAATGTACTTCAAGGACACTGGCTACTTTTCTATAGGCAGACCTCAGCAATAAAACTAAAATTCAGTAGCAAGATTTAAATTTTCTAGTGCTACAGCAGTAATCTTGAGCAGACATGCCTTCTTGCGTGCATTTCCACAGTACATTCTCAAAAGGAACATCTAAAAACTAAAAGGTTTCGCTAGAATAATTTAATCAATTATGACTTTTAGAAACAAGCAGAATGAATTATATGTTTTGCTCACGTTATTTGTTTTAGGAAGTGCCAAACATTTTATCCAATTATTACAGAATGCAGTTTGCAATATTATACACTACCTGCAGCTCAGAATCACCCAAGGCAAACAACGCAAATGGGAAACATATCAGAACACAGATGAGGAAAAAAGCCATTCACAGGAGACAAAAGTGCATGCAATACTTTATTTCCAACATGCCAGGAAAGCTAATTCATTACCTAGTCATTTAGAAGCAAGCAGCTGTGTACAGATAACAAGAAAAACAGCATCTCATTACAGCTCAATGCACAGCATTTTAAGCCAACAGGCATGAAATAGTGCAGGCTCAAGCAGCATTACCCAGACATTCACAAACATCGTTAATGTCTTACAAACAATGAGGCAACCTTGGAAATGGAAAACCACTCCTACGATCTTGTTTTCTACAAGATTTCAGAATGCTGCAGGTCTCATCCAAATATCCCACCTCTACCTAAACCTCCCATTTTCATGTCAGCTTAACATTTGAAAGGTAGTGCATTACCACATATATAAAGTGGAACTAGCTGTTTTGCAGTTAGTGTCAATAACCAGCTCCTTGATAATAACACAGTTTTCAAAAGGTCAGTCAGATTTAGGTAACAAAATACTCACTTCTAGGCAAAGAGAAGATGCGCTACAGGTCCTCTCACTCTACCTACACCCATGACAAGTACCTTTCAATTAAACCATTCTCTGCGTGGCAGTTCTCTTCAATATACATGCTATTTTGTATTTAAAAATGGAAACGCCAATTAAAGGAGTCTAGTATTTCAAGTTTACTGCCAATGGACTGTATAAAAAATGTCCAACCCTCACCATTGGCAAAGCAATGAACTTGTCCTCTCTTTCAGTAGTAGCAGTTGCTCAACTACTCAGAGCAGTGTTTTCAACATTTAAATACAAACACTGCAACTCGCAGATCTCTATCATTTTCTTTGTCCTAACCAATTCAGCCCACCTCCTCTTGGCAAGGAAACTCGTGCTATCGTGTCAGTGTCAGAAAAGGCTACTGGCACCTGCATCTTTATGCCTAAGATGCGGGGCCTGTGCAGAACTATGTGCAACTTCATTTAACCCCTGTGCGTGTACGCGCCCTCCACATAGCGCTATTCCTTCAGATCACTAGTTATGTGTGAATATTAATTTAGTCTACAGCTTTTAATTGCATGTTTAAATACCAGCATAACTTACTCAAAAGTTAAATACATTGTAACATTAGTTAACCTGTAAGTGCTGCAATACCTGGGTGTTTAGCTTAGGAAATTCTACAGACCTTTTAAACAGAAGATATCAAACTTACACACAATAAAAAAAAAAAGTTAAACCACATGCTAACAAGAACAAGTTTTGTTGAGATGAGACATGTGAAAAGACAACAGTGTAAAACAGAGGAGGAAGAGGGAGGGTACAACAGCACAGAGTGGTTGTGATATTCTACTGGATTCGAGATGATTGGATTCACCGAGCTGAGGATAATGTTCTGCCATGAGTAAGCCACAGGTCTATCTCCTCTGCAATTCTGCATGCAGGATGAATGAAGTCATTTAGTACACTGGGACATTAAAGTATTCATGACGTGGCTACAAAAGAAATGTATATACTCTTACACAAATGTGGACAGATATGCAAGAAAATAAAAAACAAGAAAGGTTATCTCACTATTACAGCTCTAACATAAAAAAGGACATTTGATACAGAAATATAGTATTCTATTTTTGACTACTCTACACTTTTTTGGGGAGGGGGAAGTGGGGGGGAATGGTTTTACTCTCCCAATAAGCCTACCAAAAACCATAGCAGTTAAGACTTCAGTGCGTGACAGGGAAACACAAATACGAGCTACAGTTCCTAAAAGCTCTCTTGCTATTTAAATCAAGTATTAGCCTGCACTAAACATCAAGATACAGGAGATGTGAGGCATATTCTCAACTGGTGAAGGAAACTGTGGGCTGACAGCATACAGTAACAGTCCCAAGCAGTGGGAGTTTTGAGAAAACAGGAAAGAGCAACTCTGCAATTGCTGAGGCAAAACATTCCTAAAGAGATAATCACGGAAAACTTCTGCTTTAGTGATACTGCCTCCACAATACTGATTTAGGAACACAATGGAAAAAGGCACATTTTTACAATCTAAAATGTCACATTTTCCTCATTAGTTCACATTTCAAATTGGTTATAATTTCTAGGATTCAACGTCTTTCATGTACAACTTTTAGTATGTGATAAAGTACACAATTGACACAGTGCTAGGAGGTTTGTGCCTCATCTCGACACAAACGCATTACTACCCACTGCTGATGCAAGACAGATTGCCGGCTAACATCAGGAAGAAAGTGGTTGCTTCACTCCTAGCAGGTTTGAACCTAAGGCGCATGTGGGCACCACACACAACAAGCCTAGTGATAAACTAAGACTAAACAGAAGAGCAACAGTGACATATGAAGTGGCAACAAAACAATATTGCAAGACAGAAACTTTGCAGCCTCAGTCGGAGCTCGACAGCCTACTGAGGCCACGGCAGAACCTCACATGTGCAGGGAATCAGCACTATGGGCAACCTCACTAGCAGCAGAAAAGGGGATAAAGTTTTGGTAGTTGTTAATTATTTTCAGAGAACTACATTTCCCAACATGCTCCAACTATAAATTGCCAAATTTCCTATTGTGTTCCCTGCTATACTGTTTCCAGAGCAGCTAGCCTGCAGTCTGAAGACCAAGAAAACACACCCAATCGAAGAGGACGGATAGTAGCTTCTGCAATCAGCATTTCCATTACCTTCCTTTCGGAGGACTCTACAGACATCAGACAACATCTGAAGCTCTTCTTTAAGACAGTGGCCGAGCTATTTGCATC